GTCCTGTGTTCAGGGGCTTGTTTTTCACACCTCCGAGTGAGAAAGTTTCAGTGCAGTATATTTCCAGAGTAGACAAAAATGAGGAGATTAGTTAAACAGAAATTAAAAAGTACAGTGACAAAAGTAAAATCTCCGCAAGCTGCATGGAAGCTTTTCAAAGACACCATAATAGAGGGCCAACTTAAATGGATAAACCAAATTAAAAAACACAGGAAGAGAACAAAAAAGTGACACTATGGCTTAACAACCAGGTAAAAGAAGCAGTGACAGATAAAAAGACATCTGTTAAAAAGTGGAAGTCAAATCCTAGAGAGGAAAATAGAAAGGAGTATAAACTTTGTCAAATTAAGTGTAAAAATATAATAAGAAAAGCCAAAAGGAGTTTGAAAACAGCTAGCCAAACACTCAAAAGTAATAGCAAACTGTTTTTAAGTACATCAGAAGCAGGAAGTCTGGTAAACAACCAGTGGGGCCCCTGGATGATCGAGATGCTAATAGAGCATTCAAAGATAATAAAGTCATAGCAGAGAACCTGAATGCATTCTTTGCTTCAGTCTTCACAGCTGAGGATATCGGGGAGATTCCCAAACCTGAGCCATTCTTCTTAAGTGACAAATCTGAGGCATTGTCCCAGACTAAGGTTTTGAAACAAATTGATAAACTTAACAGTAACCACTCACTGGGGCCAGATGGCATTCACCCAAGAGTTCTGAAAGAATTCAAATGTGAAATTGCAGAACTATTAACTGTGGTTTGTAACCTATCCTTTAAATCATCTTCCATACCTAATGACTGGGAGATAGCTAATGTGACACCTATATTTTAAAAGGGTTCTAGAGGTGATCCTGGCAATTACAGACCGGTAAGTCTAATGTCAGCACCGGGCAAATTAGTTAAAACTATAGTAAAAGAAGAGAATTGTCAGATGCATCGATTAACATAATTTGTTGGGGGAAAGTCAACATGGTTTCTGTAAAGGGAAATCATGCCTTACTAATCTACTAGAGTTCTTTGAGGGGGTCAATGAACATGTTGACTAGAAGGATCCAGTGGACATAGTATACTTAGATTTCCAGAACGTCTCTGACAAGATCCCTCACCAAAGGCTCTCAAGTAAAGTAGGTTGTCATGAGATAAAAGGGGAGGTCCTTTTGTAGGGCTGCAGTCTCCCTGTGGAGACTGGCCCCATGTAGGGCGTGCCTGCCCCACCACTGCGAGAACCCAGCCACCAGGGGTATGTCTGCGCCACGGGACAAGGTTGAATTAAGCGACGTGACTCCAGTGACGTTCATGGTGCAGCTGAAGTCCAAGTAGCTTAACTGCGGGAAGTCGAAGGGAGAACACTTGCCCTGTGACGTCCCTTGCTGCCTGTGGAAGCAGGACTCCCGGTTGCACCAGGCTCCGCTCTTCGAGGGCCCCGAACCCTTGTAGGGACAGGCCTGGCCAAGGCAGCTGGGCATTTCCCCTCTAGCCCTGGAGCCCAGTTTGCCTCGGCCCAGGGACCCTGCTCTCCATGGAGCCAAAGCAGCAGCCGCCTTCTGGCTGTATGACGAGCCAGGTGTGCAGACGCCCTTGGCGTGACGCCGCATGGAGTGTGTGGAGTCAATGAGACACACGCAGGGGCCCGTCACCCCGCAGCCCCCCAACCGGGGTGCCCCTCAGAGCCACAGGCTGCATTAGTGCACACTAGCTGTGCACCAGGCACTGACAATACCTGAGTGTGTGCAAGGGGCAGTATGGGCAGTGGGGAGGACATGCACAGGCTGCACTAGTGCACACTAGCTGAGGAACTCACTTGTTCCTCTTTGTTCTGTAGCTGGAAACGTCTGCCAGCTCCCTCCGGAGGAAGGCCCATGCAAGGCCTACATGCCCAGCTACTTCTACAACCCCGTCACCGAGAGCTGTGAGATGTTCATTTATGGTGGCTGTGGGGGCAACGGGAACAGGTTTGAAACCAAAGAGGAATGTCTGTGGACGTGTGGACAGCCTGGTGAGAGACTGAGGGAAACTCAGCGAGTGGGGTCCCCAGTTGCCCCGGTAACAGAGGCCTTCCTGCCACAGAGCCTGACCTCCATGATAACATGGGACTGGCTGCATCCCAGCAGTGCTAGAGCACCCACCGCGGCCCACGGCCCATGGCCCAGGGGCTGCACAGGCACAGGGCAGGAGACAGCCCTGCCCCGAGGACTCTGCCCGTGGCCAGAGGAGGGGCAGGGAGCTGAGGAGGAGCCGGCGGGCGGGGGCCACGGTGCAGCTCGTGCTGGAGCTGAAACGAAAGGGAAGGTCCCTGAGTCCTGGCAGCTACGTCCCAGCCCCTTTGGGAGCCCCTGGCTGGGGAGCTAATGACAAGAACTGCCCGGCTGGACACCTCTGCCACC